GAGTGAAAATAAGTAAACTAGTTAATACTGTTTACTAACAATAATATTATGCATTATTATTTAATAATGATTTCAGAGTAATCCTAATACCCAGGCAGGCTGCTGTCAGGGATCTCTCCAGAGTACTGAGGAGCAGTGATGTCAGTCTGGAGACTAAGGTGTGCCTCCTGATCCAGGCCATGGTCTTTGAAGTTACTTGCTATGCATCAGAGAGCTGGATAGTGGCAACGGATGACAGAGGAACAATCAATGCCTTTGAGTTGTGGTACTCAAGAAGAGTTTGAACATACCATGGACTGCAAGGAGTACAGACATGTCTGGCTTAGAGGGGGTGAAACCAAGTTTCTCCTTGGAGGCTAGGATTTTGAATCCCCATCTCAGTTTGGGCACAGGGCCAGGAGGGACCAGTCTTTGGAGAAGGACATTGGAGGCTAGGATTTTGAAGCTCCATCTCACTTAGCTTGGACACAGGGCCAGGAGGAACCAGTCTTTGGAGAAGGACATTGTCCTTGAAAGGGTGGAGGGACAGCACAAGAGAGAAAAACCCTGGATGAAATGGACTCATACAGTGACTAGGGTAATGGTGTAGGTGTGTTGGAGACAGTGAGACTGGCTCAGGATAGGGCAGAGTTCAGAGCTACTGTACATAAGATCAGTGTGAGTCACAAGCAACTTGATGGCACATAACAACAACAACAACAACAATAACAATTGCTTTACTACTTGACTTTATTATTTTCCAGATGTGATTCCCTTTTGTTTTGATTTGCTTTTTGGATTTCCATGTGATTTAGTGTCTGGAGAAAAAGTCATTCTGGAGTTTTTATTTAACCTTTCTTTCTATTTTCAGTTTGGTTTTTTAAAATTTTTTTTATTTTCTGCTTTTTTTCGTTTTATTTGCTCCCTCAAGCCAGAGCAAGTTTTGTGGATTATCATTTCTTGTTGAAGCACAGTGTCTGATGCCACCTAGGGGCACCTGCCAAATAGATGCTGCTGGTTGGCTTTGGCTGGGCAGCAGGGTCTCCTGCTTTTATATCCAGTGTTGAAGAGTTTAGCTGTCCTTGGGTTTTTTTTTGTTTTGTTTTGTTTGATTTTTCTGACTCCGAGGACAGAGAATGCTTGACGTAGTAAAAGTAAATGCAGTTGGAAACCACAGGCTTCATTTCTCTTTTTTGAAAATAGCTCTTTCACATTAAATAAATCAGGGACAAATATTATATGTAAAAAATGATGAGTCAAATGTTATATGATCCAACATACAAACTATTAGGGAGCCCTGGCTGTGTAGTGGTTTGGTGCTGGGCTGCTGACTTAAAGGGTTTGCAGTGTGAACCCACAAACTGTTCTGTGGGGAAAAGAGGCAGTAATCTCTTTCTGTAAAGATGTGCATCTTCAGAAACCTGAGAGGCACAATTTTGCTCTTTCAGAGCTACAATGCATTGAAGCATACATGACTGCAGTAGGTTTTGTTTAGGGTGTATGTGAAATGTATAGAACAGGCAAATGTCTAGAGCCCAAAGTTCATTTGAAAGGATCAGAGGATTGAGATTTACTGTATAAGGGGCACACAATTTCTGTTTAGGGTGATGGGAAACTTTTGTTTGGATACTTGTGATGGTTGCACAACTTGCTTTGAGTTGTACACTTGGAAATGGTTAGAAGAGAGTATTTTTAAAATTATTTACAAAAATAAAGTTCTTTTAGAAATCAGTTTTGCATACCCATAACCACAAACTCTCAGGTGGTGCTGAGCCTAATGTGTAGTGCACAGTGTTTTTTGAGGTGAAGGGGTGTTAGTGCACTTACCGCTCAGCAGTCCTGAGTTAGCGACCACCACCAGCTCCATCACTATTGTCCTATCCTCTTTAAAAATTAGGAAACTGGGTGTCTTAGGTCCCTGGTGTCTTTGTAAAAGAAATACTACAAGCAGGTGGCTGTAAAGAATAAAGATGTATTTTCTCACGGTTGAGGAGACTAGAAGTCCAAATTCAGGTCACACACTATAAGGAAGGCTCTCTCTCTGGGTGCAGGGAAGGCTCTTGTCTCTGCTTGTAAAGCTCTGTCACTCATTCCTTGGAGAGCACCAGCTGGGTCTGCTATTCTTATATAAGCCAGAGCAACTAGGTTTAGCACAAACCCTGTACTGATGTGGGGTTATCATAGCAAGAGCCCTCTTCCCTAATGAGATAACATCCAGACGTAGGTTGTTGTTGCAGGTCAACACACAGCTGACCTCCAAGCAGTTTTTCAGAGGAGAGAATCACAGCGGAGGGGATTGTCCATCCTTTTCTCTGTGAAACAGCTGGTAGAATTCAATCCATGGGCCTTTGGGATTGCAGTACAGCTTCTTACCACTAAGCCACTGGAGCGCTCTTCCAAAGACATATGGGTTAGGATTTTACATGTGTTTGTGGGCAGGAGCACAGTGCAATCCCTGAGAGTGAGGCACATGATGCATAAGTTGATCAGTTAGAGTTATATTGAATACCTGAGCCGTCAGACTCTAGAATCTGACTACTTACTCTGTCCCCCTTTTCACCTCACCCTCTTGGATCTGACAGAGCTGTTAGTCTTTGTTCTATCCTGAAAGCCTCTTGCCTTTTTCAGGCTTTTTTTCAGCATCCCCACTTCTTAGCTGGGGAGCCAGGTGGTGCACTCCATTAGAAATTGTGCCACGAACCCCAGGCCCACACCCCTCTCATGGCTCAAAGCCACCAGCTGCTCCACAGCAGAAAGATGGACAGTATCTTCCCATGTGATTTGTAGCCTCCCGCCAAAAACCCCAATGGAGGGTCAGCTATGAGTCAATTCTGACTCTTCGTTTTAACTTCTGAGCCAATGCAGAATTTCAGAACTAATTTTGGAGATGGGGCTGAGTTTGTCATTGAACAAGAAGGGATATCACTAAGCTGCTTTAAAAGAAATGTGGAAATTCTTTCCATGTCTTTTGCCCATTTTGGGTCATTAGTCTTTTTCTAGTGGATGCCCAGGAGTATTCTGTAAACTTTAGTTATAAGACTCTTGTCTGAGATGGTATTATCAAATGTTTGTTCCCAGTCTGTAGGTTTTCTTTTCACCCTGTTGGAAAAAAAAATTATGCACACATGAATTTAATTTTTAAAAGGTCTCATGAACCAATTTTATCTTCTTTGATTGTGCATTTCTGGTTATATTTGGAAATGATGGTACATTGACCCAATGGAATACTATGCAGCACACAGGAGCAATGATTTTAGGCAAATTACTACCTAACTTGGGAAGGACTGCAGAGCAATATGCTGAGTGGACTCAGTTCCATGAGGATAAATATTCTATAAAACCATTATTGTTGAATGAGTATGAGTATCCAAGAGGGGTGGGAGTGGTTGGAATCTGAAGGATGAGGATGTGCAGGGGGCGGGGGGATTAAATCATGGGGTTGTACAGTTTGATGGGTGTGGGGGTGAGGGAAATTGAAAGAATCTGATTTCAAAAACAATGTATTTGAATTTTGTAAATAAGCAAATATACAGTTTTAAAAAGTAAAAAAAAATGTGAACCCGTTTTCTGTTCTCTTCATTGAAAACAGCAATGTGACCCTATAAATAAGAATCAGGACAACTCAGGCCCATAGGGGCACAGGGACAAATACTGCATGAGATTATTACTGTAAAAACAGAAGGATAACCACTAAGATGTGGACGAATGTCTAAAGAAGGGAGGGAAGAGGGAATGGGGGCTTGGGGGGAGGAAATTATGGGTTCATAGAGTTTGGTCAGTGGAGGGAGGGGGTGAAGGAATTAGCAAAGATCCTGGAGGGATCTAAAAAGATGGGGTAATAGTGGACATACATCATAGTGATTAATTTTTTAAGATGCAGTGTATGGGCATGATCATCAGAAATACAATGGGAATTTAAAGAAAACCACCAAAAAATAATAAAAGAAAAACAAAGTTGTGGTTCTAAACATCCTTCAAATTCAGAAGTAAACGTATCCCTGGGTATTAAGTTTTGGCTAAATAAAAGCTAGAACTATAAGGTCAATACACCACTTGTCAGTTTGAAAAAAAAAATGAGCATACAAGTCAGTGCTTTTTGCACACAAACTGAAAGTCCTAATTGGCATCAGTTAACATACCCGAGGAAGAAGTTCTTATCTTGGGAGTGCTAGGTTAATAGTCATTATAATGAGGTAAGGCTCCTTTGAAGGGTTCTAAATGTCTGTGAAAATGTAGTTTTGAAAGCCCTAAAAATCAGGGAATTGTCTAACCAAGATCAGAAGTGGGAAATATTTTAGAAAAATGGTTTTTTAACCTTCCTGCATCCTCATCCCGACTTCCACCTCTTCTTCAGAATCACAGTCAGACATGCAGCCAGCAAGCAGACCTTGTCTCTGCACATAATCCAAATAGCCAAAGATAGCATGCTGACCAGTGTGATATGGAACATATATATCTATTTATATATATATCTGTGTATGTGTGCACATGAACATACTTGATGGAATATGTCGATAACTTGCATCCATTTTGGAGGGCTAATACTCTTGTATTGGTTTTAATATTTCCTCTTGGATATCCATGATTAATAAACAAAACTTATTATTTTCCCTTAATTCCTTTAACTGCTACTGATTGGTGAAAAGCTTTTCTTTAAGCTCTTTATTATTAAAACCATGCAAGATACACAGTTTAAGTGGGTACAAGCAGTCCTGTGATTAGATACATACTGCTATTCCATACCTTTAAGATGAGAAAACAGGCGCTCAGAAACATACAGTGGGTTTCCCAGATGGCCTTCCCAATCTGGCTTTGAGAGTAAGAGTCCTTTTGAATCCAGGTCTCAAGTCCAGCTCAGCTCAGCGATGCTTTGCGGCCTCTTCTGTTCTCTGATGGACTTTGCCAGTGACTCAGCTTCCATTATCTGCTTGTACTTATTTTTTCTAGAATTTTCTCGCTGCTTTGCCACACCTTGTTTTCCACTATGACAGTGTAACTGTGTTTCCCCCTGTGTCTTCCAGCTTCGGAGACATGCTGTCCTTTACACTGACCGCGTTTGTGGAGCTGATGGATCATGGCATAGTATCATGGGATACATTTTCAGTGGCGTTCATTAAGAAGGTAATCCAATCTGCCCTTCTCTTTTTTTCTTACACATTTATTTTTCTCAATTTTGAGAGAACTATCTAATTGTTTCCTGTCATTCTTAATGTTAAAAGGTAAGTGTGATTTTTAAATAGTATTAGGGTTTCAGAAGTCAGGTACCCAAATTCTATGTGAAAAAGATATTTTCTTCCCGCAGTCCTCCTGAGGGATTTGTACATGGGAAGCCAGAGTCGGAGGGAACGAAGGTGCCATGTTGTTAATTGGAGTGAGTGTCTCCTGATTCACTGCGTAGGATTCTGTTGATTTTAGGATGTAGGCAGAATTTTTGCTTTCTTCCTGAACCTTCTACCTCCAATAAACTTACCTTCTTAAGGGAAGGAGAAAGATAGAGTTTATTGTGTATTTACATGACTAGAGATAATATGAGCAGGGGTACATGGCTCCAAGGCGGAGCAAGCCTGCTCCAATGTGAAAACCCAGGGAGCGGTTAATAATGTGATGGACAGAGGTAAGCCTACCGCAGGGGAAGGAGGGAGAAGGGTTCTTTCTGCATCCCCTACAATTAATTCTAATTAAGGCTGCAAATTTACAATTCTGTTTTTATTCTCCTGACAATAAGTAAATAGCTCTATATTTAGTATTGCAATGAGTTAATATTATGTATTCATTTATTAACATATTTTTTCACATCTAGTAATAAAGCTATTAAAAAATTTAATAACCTTTTCTCTTGACTGTTGTTTTAGGAATAAAGGGATATTTAGGATTTAGCATTTTAATAATTTTGAGAAGAAGTTGGAAAGTCAAAGCAAAATCTAGCAAGAGCTAACTGGTCGACTTTTTTTTGTAATGAAAAAAAATTGAAGTAATTGCAAACCTAGTAAAATGATGAAAAAAAAATTAGAAAGTTTCTTTTAGTCTTTATCCAGTTTCACCCAATATTAATATTGTGCATTACCATAGAACAGCTGTCAAAACTAAGAAAGTAACACTGGTACAATATTATTACAAAATAAATTCAATTTTGCATATTTATTTATTAATGTTCTTTCTCTGGCTAAGGATTGAACTAGGCAGAATCCACGTTGCCTATTTGACCTTCCCAGGGGTTTCTGAGACTATAAACCATGTGGGAGGCAATTGCCCATCTTTCTCCTGAGGAGTCACTGGTGGATTTGAACCGCTAGAGAGGTGTGGCCTTTGGATTAGCAGTGCAGCTCCCAGTGGAATACACCCCGAGAGCCCAGCCAACTCATGGCCGACCCTCCAGAGGGTTTTAGAAGCTTTAGAAAGCGATTAGCCACCTTTATTCTGCAGAGCAGCTGGTGGATGTGAATTGTGTGCTTAGGGTTGGCAGTGTGTCTTCTTACCACTAGGCCACCAGAACTCCAACAGGCCTCAATCTTTTTCTTAACATATTTGGAGAATGCCCTGCTGTTATTTTGTAGAATGTCCCTCAAGTTGGTATTTCTCATGATTACGGTGAGGTTATTTTATGTATTGGGGGCAAGAATAGCACAAATGAGCTGTTGAATTTTGCTCAGTGCTTTATTTTAGGGACTCATGATGTTGATATGTGATAATGACAGTGCTAATCTTCATCTTGTGTAGAAATGGTGTCTCCATTGTAAAGTTACTCTATTTCTCTTGGTGTTTTCTCCTTAACTTGGGGGAGATGCTGACTTTGAATGGCACAAGTGAGCTCCTTTCTGTCAATGAGGTTGTTGGAGAAGGAAGCCATACAGATTACATACATGTCCTGCTGGAAGTGGCATCTTTAGTGAGGACTGGAGCCGAGTGGGAACATCTGTGCACCTTCTTTCCTTCTGTGCATCCACGAGGCCTGGGGGGAGGGGGGGGCGGAGGGGAGTAAAGGAAACCACATGCGAAGTCCACAGAGAGGAAAGAGCCCACTGTGTGTTGGTGGTAGGAATTTCATAAAACAACAACAAAAACTCGACGTTAGTGAAGAAAGCAGTAGCAATGAAGGTGCAGTGGGGTCCTGTGGTTTGGTGGCAGAGAATGTAATCAGTAGTTTATGAGCAGAGACAAGAAATCTGTGTTCTGTCTTTCTAAAGAAACGAGTTCATTCCTGCAAATATTGACTTTATTTTTGGTATTATTTTTAGATAGATACAGATGTTAACTCCCTCTGAATTTGTGGCAGGCTCGTCTCACACTTGAATTGCCTTTCTTCCCTATGTTTAGAGCCTCTTTTTCTCCTAAAACAGACGTAACGACAGCACATCAACAGTGCGATTGTGGTTGTATTTTATTATTGTGTGCCGTTGAGCCGGTTCTGACAGGTAATCCCACTATGGCAGAGTAGCTCCAAACAGCTCTTTAGACTGAACTGTGGGAAGAATCATCCCCAGGTTCGTTCTCCCACAGTCCCACAGATGGGGTGGTGAGCCCATCGACTGTGCCACCAGAGCTCCTTAACTATGTGACGCTTAGTGTCAGTTCCTTGAGATGATGTGTTTTTACCCACGTTACCTCTCTGAATCTCCGTGATAATCCTGTCCAACACAGAAAAGAAGGATTTTGTTATTGTGGTTAGAGAGGCCAGGATGCAGTGGCCTGGAGAAGTTAAATGAGATCATAGTGAGGGGGGTGAAAGTCATCTTTCATTCAATTCAAGGCACTTTCTCTCATCACCACATACTTGCGCTTTGCAAGAGGAAGAAAGACTTCTTACTGGAGCAACGTGTATCCAGCATGCTCCGTCATGCAGCCTGCTCTGTCCTTACCAGCTGAGCTGAGAGATCTCATGTTCCGTGGCTCCCTGGGGGCATGTAGCGCCCTGTCACAGCACTTGCCACATTCCTATGATTTTTACTGTTCATCTGACAGTCAGATCAAGACTAGATCATAACCCCTAGGCGCACAGAGTCACGACCTTCTCCATGACTTGTCCTCAGGGCCTAATAGACTAAACCTTAATCTATTTCTGAAAAATGAATAAAAGCAGTTTGATTTAGAAGCATTTTTAAAAAAATCAATCTATCTGAAGAAGGAAGAAATGGTACTGCATGTGTTTAAATAGATTTCAAGTAAAATGTCAGTTGTGAACTAGACACAAAAGGATAAATATTACGTGATCACACAGAATTGGCAAATGAGTAAAGACAGAAAATAGACTAGAGATCTCTAGGGTGGGGTGTGTGGGGAGAACAGGGGAGAGTTACTACTGGGTGGGCACAGAGTTTCTGGTTAGGGTGATGGAAATGTTTTGGAAATAGCTGTTGGTAATGATTAGCGCTCTAGTGGCCTAATGGTGCTGCATTTCAATCCCAAAGACTTATGGCTCAAAACCACCAGCCACTCTGCAGGAGGACTGGCAGTCTCCTCCCATGCAATTAATTGCCTCTGAAAACATGCCTGAGGGTCAGCTGTGGGTCATTTCCAACTGGAAGGTACTCAACAACAACAGCAGTGGCTGTCCTAGGGACACGAAGCCCTAGGGAACTGTGCTGCTAACCCAAAGTGGATGCCTCTCTGGCATTTGGAATCACCAGGGACTCTGCAGTGAGTGGGGAGGAGGGGTGAGGGAATGGGAAGGAGCACTTGCCACTGGTGTGCTTTACCATCTCCCAAAATTCACTAGAGTGTCAGCTGTGAGTCAGTTTTGATTCCACAGCAGTGAGTGGTTATGCCACTAAATTTTACGTTGAAAAATTATTAAAATATAAAAATTTATTATGTGTGTATACACACACACACATACACACGCAATGATGTCACTCTGGAGACGAAGGTGCGCCTGATCAATCACTTGCTATGTGTCAGAGATCTGGACAATGTCTAGGGAGGATAGAAGGAGAATTGATGCCTTTGAGCTGTGGTGTTGGAGAAGAGTATTGAATGTACCATGGACCGCTAAGAAAATGAAGAGATTCATCCTGGAGAGGGTCAAGCCAGGCTGCTCCTGGGAGGCAAGGATTCTGAGGCTTCATCTGACATACTTTGGACATGTTGCAAGGAGGGACCAGTCCTTAGAGAGGGATGTCATACTTGGGAGGGTGGAGGGACAGTGCAGGAGAGGAAGACCCTCCATGAGGTGGATTGATTCTGTGACTTGGGTAACAGGGGTAGGTGTGTCAGAGACAGATAGGCACAGGATTTAGGGCTGTTGTACATAGTGTAATTATGAGTCACAGGCAACTCGACAGCACATAACAGCAACAACAACTATGAAATAATATTTGACTAAAATAAAGCATTATTAAAAGCTCTTAGTTACAGGTGGGAAAGAATTACAAAGATGTCTTCCTGGTGGTTTAATGTTAAGGAGATGCACTACCAACATAAAGGCAGACAGTTCGAGCCCAGCAGCCACTCAGTGGAAGGAAGATGGACAGTCCCCTACTGTTTGACTTATGGTCTCTGAAAATACACTGAGCGTCAGCTATGAGTTCTCACTTAAAGGCCCTAACAACACAACACAACATGACACAACACAACACCGGGAATAACTAGCTTCAATTTCTGACTTTTAAAAAGTGGTTTCATTCACTGAAATGAAAGTCATATTAAGTCTAAGGAAGCAAAGACTAGTCAATCTTGGCCTTGTAAGTAAAAATACAGTATTTTTAAAAAGCCAGCACTTGCACTTTTCTCATTCTGGGTTACTGCATTTGTTTCATGTTGCTACTAAGAGATCCCATATATGATTTTAAAAATGATTCCAGACAGTTACTTCATAGTTGGTTTCTTGCTGAGGTCAACTTTTGTTACTCATTAGCTGGACCCAGTTCAGCACTTTGACAGCCCAGGAATTGTATGCAGGCAACTGTCTTCAAATGGATCTTTATCTCAACAAAAATTAACTGGGAAATGCTCTGACAAAAGATGCCTATCTCTGGGGTCTGAACTTGGCTGCTTCTTAATGCCAAATTCATGCCACTTGGGAGAAAGATTTTTTTTTCTCTGCCAGCTCTGTCTTCTGCCCTACTACATTATCTGTTTTGTTTTGTGAGGATCTAAATTGTTTAAATTTTGTGTATGATAAATCAAAGCATGACTTCAGAAATAATCTGAGACTTGGAATACCTTACGACCACCATAAAATGCTGTGCTGTAAAAGAATTCGCTACTGAGGAAGAGACCAGGAGTAGGACAGGGAGAAAAAAAGTCCTTTTTGTGTTAAGAGCTGGCTTCCCTAGCCAAGCATAACATCAGTGCCTTGTCTTGGAAAGAATGTTCCATAGGAAAGCTCTAGGAAGCGTTAACTGAGCAGGAGGACCTGGCTTTCCTTTGCATATACTTTCAGTGCCTAGACAAACATCCAGCTGTATTCGTATAGAGACCTGATTATTTTTGCCTCTTAGAATCTTGAGAGGTTTATGAGACTCTGCTTTGAGTTGGAATCAGTCCAGCAGCATATGGCATCAACTGTGTTGTTGTTAGGTGCTATCAAGGCAAAATCGTAGCAAGCCGATTAACAGCAGATCTGAACCTTGCCCTGCCCTGTGCCCTGTCACCTACTCTGTCATGCTCAAGCCCTCTGTGGTAGTCATCATGTCAGTCCATATCTTGAGGGTCTTCCTCTCCTTCCCTGATCCCTCCACCTTTCCCAGCACTTTATCTCTCTCTCAGAAATCATTGTTGTTAACAGCAGTGCGGACCACTTAAAATACGGGCATGGAGCACCATGCTTTCTCCAGGCTCCTTTTCTGTTTTAATAGCACAGGGGAATTTTAATTTTGAGATCTTGTTCTGACTGGTTCTGAACAACAACAACAAAAATATGTGATTTGAATAGCTTGTGTCATTGGTTTGTGAACTGTGAGGCACCTTTGTGTCCTCACAGTGACCAGATCTTCCCCAGTTTTATTTGGGGAACATTTTTAAATGCAGGAGCAGCATATGGAGGCAGTGTACATAATGGTTGCCAATTCCTCTCTCCTCTTTCCCCTAATGATCCAGGCTTGCTTTCAAGGAGCTTTATTGTGGCTAGCTTAGACTAACTCAACTGTGTCAGCCAAAAATACAGTAAGAGAGCTGGGATGAATTTAAAGGCAAAGGAAGTCATTATAGTTTCAGAGGAGCAAGGAAAATTAAAATTTAACCAGACAATCTGGTATACTACTTAACGATGGTAAAGTCTGGAGTCTTCAAGCCAGATGTGGTGTAGCAGCGTGTGCATTCAGTAATGGGTCTGTCACCATTCCTTCTGAGGAAAAGTAGGTTAGAGTCAGCCCTGATGCTTTTACTATGAATATTAGCAAAACAGCACTGTGGGCTCTTTTAAAGGGTCTGCTAAACCCACTGAGAATAAAAGTAAAGGATGAAGTTGGTGCTTCCAGTCTCTTGTGGACAGTATGTGGAACTGTGACGAGGTCACTGCTCTGTACCAGGCAACACTTCACTGAGTATATTATGCTAAACATTTACTACATTGTATTTTTAAGATTGCGGAAGTGATTCATTCTCTACGGGAATAAGAGATAAGTTCATAGAAAAGATAAAGTTTTTAAGAATACTTTGCTGAAAGGAACTGCAGTGGTGTAGTAGGTAGTGTGTTGGGCTGCTAATTCAAAGGCCAATGGTTCAAATCCACCACCTTTCCCTGGGATTTATAGCCTTGGGAATCATATGGAGTGTTGCTGTGAGTCAGAATCAACGTCATGGTGGTGTATTTTGGGGTTACTTTTATCCCCATCCTGAAAGTAAAGGATTAATTTCATGGGAGATTAAGAAAGGAGCTTGGCAAAGACAGAGTATAGATATTTTTAGTCCTCAAAGGAACTAATACTATCCTTTTATAACCTTGGAATTATCATAATCGTACTGTAGTTTGTATTACAAAACAATAGTGTTTTGAATATAAAATTAAATGTTGTTGTTTTTTTTTTTAACTATAGTTTCTTTTCCACCTCCTGTTAGCAAAGCTAAGGAGCTCTGGTGGACTAGTGGATAGAGAGTTGCAGTACCAACTCAAAGGCAGGCTGCTTGAATCCACTGTTGGCTCCTAGAGAAAGAGATGGTCAGTCTCCTCCCATGTAATGGGAGCCTCTGGTTACCTGCTGGAGGAACAGCTATGAGTTGGTTCTGACTCAATGGCTGTTAGAGTATAGACAAGAATAGGTGTTGGCACCTCTATTCCTTCTGATTTCACCAGAGGGTCACTGAGCAAACACAACTGATTTGGTTATTGGAAGATGCTGTGGGTGCATTTGGTATTTTGTCATGTCTGAAGATGGAAAGATGATGAGGAGACAAACAGGGAGAAATTGGTGTTGACAGGGGGAGGCAGAGAGTGCTTATTTATGATAGAATCAAATTATTTCACTTTTTAAAATCACAGCCATTATGTTGATAAAATTACAGCTTTTCAGTGAGTTGTCAACAGACAGTAATAACTTCTAATGGTGTCTCTAAAATCAGACCTTTATGGCACCCATGTGTTTGGATTGCTGTGATCCATTATTCTAACCTTATTTTACTTCCTTTTTACAGGATTTATGAGGTTTTAGGCCTTAGTGATTAATTCCTTGGAGGATATATTTTAGAACCCAGGTTATTATTTTAACTTTTAGCACTGCTAATTTGAAATGTTTTTCTCTTTGCTAAATTTGAAGGAGATGAGAATAATTTATTTTAACCATAAGAAATTGGAAGAATGGAAGAATGGGTATTTGGTTAAGGAAAGCAGAGTAGCCAGTTGAAAGTTGCCAGTTGAACTGTGTTGACAAGTGTGATTTGTGAAGTCCCTGAAGAATCAACAACATGAAAGTTATTGACTGCGGATGAAGGGGTTCTCTGGGAAGGAGGAGGAATAACTATTAAGATAAGCCCAAATGACTAACTCAAAGAAACTTGTATTGATGGGTGGAGCTCAGATGAATAATCTAGGGAGGAGAAAAAAGTAGACAAAGTCATTGAAGAAGTCTCTATTTATAAATCACTTAACATTATAATATAAAGAGAATCTAAATAGTGTTTATAATGATATCATGAACATTTCTTGATAGGATCCCTCTTGTCCTTTTCGCTGTAATGCCAGCTGCTTTCTATCTTCCATGTCTGATGTTTCTCAAGTACTTTTCCTGTTTATTTATTCCCTTCTCTCCCTTTTGCTCAGATTATCACCAGCATTGATTGCGTTTCCCTTGCATTTTCAGATAGCGAGTTTTGTGAACAAGTCAGCCATCGACATCTCAATCCTGCAGAGGTCCTTGGCCATTTTGGAGTCCATGGTGCTCAATAGCCATGACCTCTATCAGAAGGTGGCGCAAGAGATCACTATTGGCCAACTGATCCCGCATCTTCAAGGGTAAGCAGGTGAACATTTCTGTGGGGAAGGAAAGTGCTTCAGGGAAAGGGTCCTTGGCAGTGACTTATGATGGTTTCATTAACTGAACAGGAAAGAAAAATCTCGATTTTTAGTATAAGTAAACCATGTACCACATTTCCACACTTAAATGATATGGTCACTTCCTGTTGTTCCCACCGCTGTGGGTTTTGTGCCTGTTTGGGGTACTGCTCTGTTCCCAATGCTGACACTTAATCAACTTTTGGTTTTGATGAATATTGTTATACATGTGGAGTCTTACTTTTAAATATTATTTTGTATTTGAATGACCAAGCACTGATGAGTTTGGTGTTTTTTATGTATACAATCTTGTGACAATAATTACTTTCTTTTAAAAAAAATATTTTTTTTAAATTTTATATTGATTTATTTACAAAGTTTGAATACATTGTTTTTCACAAAAGATCCTTCCTGTTTCCTTCAGCTCCCCCTATCAAGTTGTGCAACCCTATGATTAACACCTCCTTGCCCATCCTCACTGCTCTGCTTCCACCCTTAACCCCTGGATCCTCATACTCGTTCTATAATAATGGTTTTATACAGTATTTGTCCTTGTGGGACTCAGTTTTCTTTTACAACCAGCACCATTGCCAAATTTTCTATCACTGACAAAGAAACTTAATGCAAACTAAATGGTGACTTTTGTGGCCTCTCCTTCTGCTGCTGGTGATTATGAAAAAATTTTAGTCATAAGAGTCTTACTCTTGGTGAGACCTACTAAGACAATTTGTTCTCTTAAGTTCTTTGAACACATCAGGATTATATATGCTTTGAAATAGTGACTGCTTTCACAGTCAGTTAGGGGGCTTTAAAATCGGCTTCTTTCTTCCTCAGCTAGACTCAAGGTGCTATGCAATTTATAATGTATATGTTTCAGAAATTTGACCTATAAGATGCAGGGTAACATCCCCAGCAGCCTGCAGTCTTTGGAGATTTTTCCCATCTCTCTACTGTTAGGTAACTGAGGTTGCTTCTAATGATACTGAATTGAGAAGGAGCCCACTGTGAAGAGCTGATTCATCAATTGCTTTTGAGTTGTAGGTAGCAACAAACATGAGCCATCTGACACAAGAGCAGGACAGTATTGGGAAGATTCTGGAATGAGTATTCAAGAGCGACTCAAGGAGCTGAGCTTTGGAAAGGACAGCATTCTGGCCTCCTGGGAATCTTCAACACAAACCTTTTACTGGCAGATTGGTGATTCCGCTCCCAATGGCTTCCCTTCTTCTGTCAGAGTGCACATTTGCAAAGTTTCAAATGGGCCAATAAAGGCCCTTTTGGTTTGTTTATGTGGATGAAGTGAAATGCACTGAAAATTTTAACTGTGATATTTAGGATCTAACCTGCTGGAAGTACGCTAGATGTTAGTGTCCCAAGGAGAGGGCAAGGTGACCAGCATTTAAATTTAAATTGCAGATGCTCTCACTTGTGACCTCAGTGAAAATTAGCACACACTTTAAAATGATTAGGGAAAAGCTCTCCAGAAATGAGGCCCACTTCTGTTTGCCTGAGAAGGTGAAATGCATTAACCTTATTGAATCTGTTTTCTTTGGGTCCCCAGGAGACATTGTCTCACTCACTTCTTCAGTGTGGATAGTCATTATTTGCCAAACACAATGCTAAGGATTTTGCTACGCAATTTTTCTACTGTCTCTTTTTATTCCCTCCAAAACCACAAACCCTGACAATATTGTGGCTCATGATGACACAGGTGTGTAGGATTAGAACTACACTCTGCAGCTACGTAGTTATAACATTTCTGATATTAACGACATTCTCTAGACGTTTCTTCTAAGTTGCCTCTTGATGGGCCCAAGCTCCCCATCACTCAGTAACTGAGTGATTACCCATTTGCACAACCCACCGACTCCTTTATCCTCATAGCGACAGCTTGAAACAGTGCTCTTGTCACCATCTGTTATAGGTGTGGAAATTGTGCACTTTAAGGCAACCACTTGGGTGTGCCCATGACCACAGCAGTCTGTGTTGAACTAGACTAAGAATTCCTTCCTGCCATTCACTCATGTTCACTCTCTAGAGCTGTTAGTTTCTTATGCCTGCTGTAATAAAAAAACTGGATAGCTTAAAGCAATATAAAATTATTTTCTTTTAGTTTGGGGGAAGGAACTTGGAAATGAAGGTGTCAACAGGACTATGCTGCTAGAGAAGAGTCTGTTCACTGCCTCTTGTAGCTTCCAGTGGTGTCGATACTCCTGTGCCTTTTGTCTTGTGGCCATATCATCCCAATCTGTGTTTTTGTCCTCACATCTCCTTTAATTTTGTGTGTCTGTCCCCAAACTCCTTATTCTTTGCTTTTCTAACAAAAACACGTTATTACATTTAGAATCCACCAGAATAATTAAGAGAGCTCTGGTGGTTTTGTGGCAGGGAGTTGTGCTGCCAACCCAAAGGCATGTGGTTCAAATCTACCAACTGCCTTGTGGATAGAAATGGGCAGTCTCCTCTCCTGTAATTTTCTGACTCTGAAAACATTCTGGAGAGTCAGCTCTGAGTTGACGCCAGCTCAGTAGTACACAACAAACAACATGATAAACCAGGCTAGTCTTCCCCTTTCAAGATTCTTAACTACCCCCTTGCCATCCATGGTGACATGCCCAAGTGCTACGGATGATGACGTGGTTGTGTGTTGTGGGTGTTATCATTCCACTATCACAGTCCTCTGCCACCCCCGAGGTCCTCTCTCTTTTTATGCTTTGGAGCCTTTCTACTCTTAACCAAGTGCTCATAGAGAAAGAGTACAGGTGTTGTGGGCTTCTTTTAAAATTCCTGGCTATCTAATAATGAGCAAATTTACAGATTTAGGTATGCTTTTCTTTTTATTAATACTTTTATATTTTAAAATAAGTATTTATCTATTGGCATTAAGTATGATAAATGTGATACACAGAGTATGAACCAGAAAGAATTGGCACTGAAACATTTAATAAACTAACATATGATCATGAAGCAATGGTAATAAAAAAGGAGTCTACAGTGCACTAAAAGCATTGACAAAAAAATAAGGCCCTAGGAATTGATGGAGCACCGCTTGTTTCAGGAGCAGATACAGCCCTGGACGTGCTTACCACTCTCCATCAGCAAATATGGAAGATAGCTACTTGGCAAACTAAACTGGGAGAGCTTTCATATTTGTTTCTATTCCTACGAAAGGTGATCCAACAGAATGTGGAAATGATCGAACAATATTGTTACTAGCACAGGCAAATAAAATCTTGCTGGAGATTATTGAAAACAACTGGAATCTGCCAGAAATTCTAGCTGTGTTCAGTAGAGCCTATGGAATGAGGAACAACATTGCTGCTGATAGGTGGATTTTGTAAAAGCAAAGAATTCTGAAAAAGTGTTTGCTTGTGGGTTGTGGTGTTTTGTTTTGTTTTTTAATTATGGAAAGACATTTGACTGTGTGGGTCATAACAAATTATGAATAACATTAAGAAGAATAGAATCTTGGAACACTTAATTAAGCTCATACAGAACTTAATACACAAACCAAGAAGCAAAAACACTATATGGTTTAAAATAAGAAAAGGTATGAATCAAGGTTGGATCCTTTCTGTTTATTCAGTCTATGCGGAGCATATAATTCAAGAACCTGGGCCATATGAAGAAAGTAGCATCAAAATTAGATGAATACTCATCAATTCCCTCCAATAAGCAGATGACACAGCCTTGCTTGCAGAAAGTGGAGAAGACTTAAAGCAGTGACTGAAGAAGATCGAAGACTACAGCCTTCAGTACAAGTTATATCTCAACATCAGGAAGGTACACCCAAGTATTTCAGTTTGTGGTTGGCTATTGTAAATGGTAGTGCTTTCTTGATTTCCTTCTCTGAGTTTTCTTTGTTAATGTAGAGGTATCCTATTGATTTTTGGATATTGATCTTATTTTGCCACTTGGGAGTGAACCTAACTAGAGATACAAAAGCCTTATACAAAGAAAACTACAGAATATTTCTGCAAAACACAATAGAAGACCTAAATAAATGGAAACATGTGCCCTGTACATGAACAGGAAGACTTAATATTGTGGAAATTACAGTCTTACCAAAAACAATCTATATGTTCAATGGCAGTCCCAATCCAGATACCAAATTAATTTTTCAAGGGGATTGAAAGATAAATTATAAAATTTATTTGGAGACGAAAGAGCAAAACATTTCTGAGAAACAAAAATGAGGTGGGAGGCACAGTACTCCCTGACCTCAAAACCTACCACACAGCAGTAGTAGCCAAAACAGCATGGTACTGGTATAATGACAGGCACATAGACCAGTGGAACCAAATTGAGAACACAAAAATAGACCTAGCTATCTATGGCCAACTGATATTTGACAATGAAATCAAAGCTGTCAAGTAGGGAAATGACAACCTCTTCAACAAACGGTGCTGCCAAGACTGAACTGCTACCTGCAAAAAGCTGAAATAGGATCCACATCTCACACCATACACAAAAGTCAACTTAATGTGGATTAGAGACCTGGAAGTAAATCCCAAAACCATAAAGTTCATAAGAGACAAACTGGGACCAAAGTTAGAAGCTCCAGTCCAAGGTATACCAGAGACTTCCAAATACAGCTAGAAATGCCCAATCTGAAAAGGATAAAATTGATGCATGGGAACTTCTAAAAATTAAATCCATGTGTGTATCAAAAACTTTTTCCCAACAGGGTGAAAAGAAAACCTGCAGACTGGGAATAAACATTTGGTAGTACCATCTCAGACAAGAGTCTCATAATGCAAGTTTACAGAATACTCCTAGGCCTCCACAAGAAAAAGACTGATAACCAAATTACAAAACATGGAAGGAATTTTTATAGAGGAAGATATTTGAATGGAAAACAAACACATGAAGAAATGCTCAAAATCACTGGCAGTGAGAGAGATGCAAATCAAAACCACAATGAGGTACCATCTCACTCTGGTAAAAGTAGCAAAGTTTAACAGGACAGCAAGTAATAAATATTGGATAGGATGTGGTGAGAAAGGAACTCTTATACATTGTTGGTGGGATTGTAAAATGGTACAATCATTCTGGAAGGCAGTTTGGTGCTTCCTCAAAAAGCTGAATATAGAAATTCCATAGGACCCAGCTATTCCACTACTTGGAATATACCCAGAGAAAGCGAGAACTTAGGCACAAACAATGTTCATAGCAGTATTATTCACCATTGCAAGAACATGGAAACAGCCCAAATGTCCAAGCAGAAACAAATGGATTAAGACATTATAATACCTTCAGACAATGGAGTACTGCGCAGCACGCAGGAGCAATGATTTTGTAAATTATTGCCTAACTTGAGAGGGACTGGAGAGCATTTTGTTGAGTGAGCTAATTCAGTCCCACAAGGACAAATACATCATAAAACCATTATTGTAGAATGAGTGTGAAGATTCACGGGGTGGGGGAGAGTGGAGGCAGAGGGGTTAAGATGTGCAGGAGGAGGGGATAGTAATCATGGGGTGGTACAATTTGATGAATGGAGGGGTGAAGGAAATTGGAAGAATCTGTTCTTGACATCAGTGTATTCAAAATTTTAAAATAAACTAATATTTTAAAAAATTAAATTCAAGGGCAGTGATTAAAAAAAAAGGTACAGATCCTCACCATTAGACCCAGGGTCTCTGATGGCCTAGTGCTAAGAATATGTGCTGTAGCCCTGAAGGTTTGCTGTGTGACTCCACCAGTTGCTCCCCTGGAAAAAGATGTCCAGTCTCCTCCCATGTGATTAACTGTCTCTGAAAACCTGCTGTAGAGTCAGTTATGGGTTGGTTCCAACTTGATGGTAAACAGTAAACTAATAGATGGTAGACTAATAGACAAAATCATTCTAGAAGGGTAAAAGAATGAAATTGTCAAATAATTTCATTTTATTTAGACACACGATCAATATCTAGGTTGCTCTGATGGCCTAGTGGTAAGAAGCTGGACTACAATCCCAAAATCATGTGTTTCAAATCCACCAGCAGCTCCTCAGGAGAAGGATGGACAGTCTCCTCCCATGCCTCTGAAAAACTGCTGGAGCTTCAGCTATGGGTCTGTTCCTATGTGATAGCAAACAGTAACAAAAACGTCCATACCTGCTATAACAGTAGTCAGAAATCCAAACATGTGTTGCTGGGGCAAATCTGCTGTCAAGTACCTCTTCAGCTTAAAGTTGAAAGTATGCCTAGTTCAAGTCTTACTATTTTCAACTGTTTCCTATGTATCTAAAAGTTGAACAATAGTAAAGAAGGCCGAAAAGAATTGAAGCCTTTGAATTGTGTTGGAGAAGAGTATGAAATACACTACAGACTACCTACCAAAAGAACACACAATTCTGTTTTTGGAGGTAGAGCATCCAGCATGCTCCTTTGAGGCAAGAGAGGTGGTAAAACTTCATCTCACATACTTGGACAGGTTGTCAGGAGGGTCTAGTCCTCGAAACAAAAGGAAAGTAGAGAGTCCTTTAACAGAGAAAGAAAGAGAAGAAAGTATAAACTAGAGAGATTGACAGACTTACGACAACAATGTTCTTGAACTTGCAGAGATTGTGAAGGTGGCACTGGATAGGGCAACGTTCACATCTGTTCTTCATAGGGTTGCATGAGCCATAGTTTGCTAGCTGGTACCTAACAAAATAATGCCTCTGTCTTGGAGACTAGCTAGTTACCTTTATTATTATTGGTTTTTTGTGCCATTGAGTCGCCTGCAACTCACAGCAATCCTGTGTCTGATAACTCTGAACCCTGCGTCTGATAACTCTGAACCCTGCTCTACCCTGAGCCAATCTCGTCATCTCTGACAGACCAAACCCCATTTCCCTAGTCACTGAGTCAGTCCATCTCACCATCTCATCGAGGGTCTTTGTCTCCTGTGCTGTCCCTCCACCCTACCAAGCACGATGTCCTTCTCCAAGGACTGGTCCCTCCTGGCCACTTGCCCCAAAGTATGTGAGACAGAATTGCAAAATCCTTGTATCCAAGGAGCAGCTAGATTTTACCCTCTTCAGGACAGACCTGATTGTTCTGGCAGTCCATTGTATATTCAATACTCTTCTCCAGCATCACATCTCAAAGTTACCCTTATTAGCCCAGGAATATTGGGATATCCACGACTACTTCCTAACATTGTTATTTTTGTTACATGCTGTCGAGTTGCCTGTGACTGATAGCGACCCTCTGTACAATAGCTCTGAACTCTATCCTGAGACAACCTTATTGTCTCTTACACACTCACCCCCATTACCCCAGTCACTGAGTCAACCAATCTCATTGAGGGGCTTCCTCTCTTGTTCTGTCCCTACACCCTCCCAAGCATGAAATCCCTCTCCAAGGACTGGTTCCTCCTTGCAACATGCCCCAAGTATATCAGAGGAAGCTTCAGAATCCTTGCCTCCAAAGAACTGCCTGGTTTCACCCTCTCTAGGATGAACCTGTTTGTTTTCCTAGCAGTCCATTGTATATTCAATACTCTTCTCCAGCACCACAGCTCAAAGACAACAATTCTTCTATCATCCCTAGTAATTGCCCAGCTTTCTGAAGCATAGCAAGTAATTGCAAAGACCATGGTCTGGATCAGGCACACCTTAGTCTCCAGACTGACATTGTTACTCTTCGGTACTCTGGAGGGGTCCCTGACAGCAGAGTTTTCCAATGCAATTAGTCTTAATTTTCTGGCAGTGTTGATTGCGGAGCCAAGCAGACTGAAGCTGTTAAAAGTCTCAATCTCTTTAATGTCTTTCATGGTGCTACCAATCAATTTGAACTGGAGAACAAATTTAAGCCTCAAGTTTCAATACTTAAGGATGTTTTGGGCAGAATAATAAATTATCCAGGAAGCATTAAAAGAAGGTGGAAGGAGTCTACAGAGTCACTGTACCAAAAGAAATTAACTCACACAGAAGAATTTAATGAAAGAAGGAAACAAGAGCCTGTGGTGATGAAGGAAAAAGATCAAGCTACTCTGAAGAAACTGGCAAAAAACAAGGACCCAGAAATTCATGGCATACCAATTGACATATTTTAAGAAACAGACACGGCCCTGGACACGCTTACCAAGTTGTTCCAAGAATTCTGGAGGACAATCACCTGGCCAACTGACTGAAAAAGATCCATATTTATTCCCATTCCAAAGAAAGGTGACCCTACAGAGTGTAGAAATTATCAAACAATATCATTACTATCACATGCAAGCAAGATTTGGCTGAAAATTATCCAAAAATGACTAGCAGAGACAGAGAACTGCCAGATGTACAGGCTGGATTTAGAAGAGGCCGTGGTACTATAGAGTTAATGTTTGATGGATCTTGGCTAAAAGCAGGGAGTAACAGAGGAATGACTATCTGTGTTTCACTGACTATGCAAAAGCATTTGACTGTGTGGATCACAACAAATTGTGACTAACTCTGAGAAGAATGGGAATCCTAGAACACTTGATTGTGCTTAAGGGAAACCTATACTTGGACCAGGAGGCAGTCATCAGAACAGAGCAAGGAAACACTGCATGGTTCCAAATTGGGAAGGATGTACTCAAGGGAATCTGTCCTATTTCCATGCCTTTTTAGTTTATATGCAGAACAGATCATCTGAGAAGCTGGGCTCTATGAGGAGAAATGTGGCATCAGGATTGAAGGAAGACTCATCAACAGTCTGTGTATGCAGATGCCACAACCCTGCTTACTAAAACTGAGGAGGACCTGAAGCGCATGCTGTAGAAGGTCAAGGACTGCAGCCTTTAATATGGATTGAGGCTCAACATCAAGAAAAGAAAGAACTTCTTAATATACTTCATCAAACAGAAAATCAATAACTCTCACTCTCCCCCGTCTCCCCTCTCACTTCTCCCCTCTCCCTTCTCTCATCTCCTCTCTTCTCCCTAAACTAAACATAGACAGGATATCCTGAGTTTATGCTATTAATTCTAACAAATAAGAAGAGAGAAGGAGCCAGCTGGCTGCCTCTACTTGCTGGGAGTTTTCCAAAGTTGCCCAGCTAGTAATAGCTCCACTGTGTTTACAGACTAATTATCGTTGAAATAACTTTCTCAGTGCCAGCTGCATTGTTGAAGATATTGCCTATCACTCACCTCATTTGGGGAGGTGAAGAAAGGTGGTTATGAACTTTATCATGGTTTGAATCAGGAATTTCCTCTTCTGACTGTATTATTCTGTGTTGTTATAGGACAGATCAAGAAATCCAGACATACACCATTGCAGTGATAAATGCACTTTTCCTCAAGGCCCCAGATGAGAGGAGGCAGGTAAGTTGCATTTCTCTGGTCTTCTTTCATTTGGTGTAGAGATAGCCCTCATTTCCATACAGGGAACTACTTGAGCTTCTCTGGTACTCCCAGGTAGGGGCTCAAGGCAGCTCTGCCCTTCGGTTGACTGGCCACGTGCAATGGCCTAACAAATCCTACACGAACGGATAGAGGTGGGCCAGTGCTCATCTTCTGTTCTAGTTATAGAACCACTCCATGAGTGAAACTGAACCTAGAAATACAAAACATAATAAAATTGATGAAAATCAGGTGGGTGCGGTGAAGGCCCAGTTAAAAACCCTCATAATTTTCCCTCATGTTGTTGGATCCTCCCTGGAGGTGGGGGAAGGCAGTGGTGTGCCTATTTGCTTAAGTGAGAAGCTGAAACCTGGGAATAAAAGCTGAAGGGAAAAATAGAGAAGTCACTGCTCCTGAGGTAATTGTCCATGTGATTGAGGTAGTGCTTCGCTTGATGATACTTCTCTGTCTGGGTGTGGATGTGGTTGGGAGAAATGAGTAGTTCATTTACCTTCTTCTTTATCGAGTGGAGGAAGGAGTCCCCTCGCTGAGTAAATATTAATAGTTACCTTAGCTATACTGTCAGTCTTTTTCACCTCAGATCCCTTTTTCTTCTTCACTTAGCTGAAGGACCATTGATGAGGGGATTGTGGAAGAAGTGTAACTTTATAGCGTCTTGACTCCTCCCTAAAATTTTACCTATAACATTACAATATAAAGTATATTCTGGTTACAGATTTAAAAATGGAGGAAATATATCTTTCAACCATCAGAAAGTAGGGTGGTGAGATGTATGACAGCTCCTCACAAATTGTTGTAGGTGAATTTAGAAAGTTAGTGCCCTTCTGAACATGGTGTCGAAAACCTTATTATTTTAATTTCTGGTTGTTGGGGACTTTAAATCTCGGTGACTAGATATGAGGTATTTATAATTTGTTTTCTGTTAGAGTTGTTGCTCATCCTTAAGGATTTGGGTCTCTAATTAGACAAGGAATAGAGCCACTTTTGGGTCCCCTAAGGTTTGTTGGGTGGGTGGGGGTGGGGAATCCAAGAGATGCCTGTCATCCTCAGACCTGTGCTAGAACCCTAGCAAGTGGGCCTTTAAAGGGGGCCTGTGCAGATCTTCGGTGGTCTCACATGTGGGTCTTCTTTGATATTTGAATTTAAGACAGTTAAACGGCCCAGCACACTTCTGGGCAGCTCTTACTTTGCATACCCAGCAGACAGGGGCATTAGAGGAGCTGCTTCTCCCACTGGCTCCAGCCAAGCCAGGCATGTGGTATCTGAGTGTACAGTTGGGGACAGAGAGGAGACTTGTGTCCTGGTTCTGCACGCATGGCAGCCTTTCCCCCATCTGTGCAAGAAGTTGGATTAGGGAAAGTGAAAATTCCTTTCTGTTCTCAGACCTGTGATTTCAGTTGGGCCCCTGGATGGAGAAATGAATAAAATGCATACACTGTGCTCTTAAAGATTGTCGTTAGTCTGCTGGCAATTGGGATTAAATGACCATGGAACAGTAGGGAACCAGGTGCTGATCTGTGCTGACTCTAGGACACTGATAACAGTGGAAATATCCTGGAATACTGATAGAACAGTCACCTTGCATTCTGTAAATCAAGTTTTTCTTAAACGCCAGGTGAGACTGACATACATAGTTTGGTCATATTTTGTTATAAAAATAGTAAGCCATTGAAGAGTCGTCTTATTATCATTAAACCATTAGAGAGATTGACCCAAAAGTCCAGCAAAAAAAAAATCTACAAAATAATATATGAAGTTAATTTCAGTCTTTGAAATAAATAGCTATATTACTTGCTTCCCCATGGAAAATGAACTTGGTCTCTATATAAAGAGATGCTAAGAATGTTGTTTTTCAAGGCAAAACAAATGTTTCTAATTTTTCAAGTGAGTTAAGAAATTCTGCAAATACATAGAAAGATCCTATGCATCATTAGCCATCAGAGAGCTGCAAGTCAAAGCCACAGTGAAGTACAATCTCTCCACTTGGTAGGATAGATATGATAAAAATCAAAACAAAAAAGAAAACTATCATCATCAATAAAAACAACCAATATTAGTGATGTTGTGTGGAAATCAGAACCCTTATTATTCTTACTCCATCCAGTGGAATGGATAATGATATAAAAACCAAAATAAAAAACATTATCAGAACCCTTACCCATTGCTGATGGGAATGCAAATGGCGTTCATTTGGGAAAAAAGTGCAGTGGTTCTTCAGAAAATGAAAATTAAACTGCCATAAAACTAAACTAACTACTCCTAAATTTATACCTTAATGACTTGAAAACGGAAAGACTAAAAAAACCTGGACACCTATGTTCACTGATGCACTGTTTATAACACCTAAATATTCATCAGCAGATGAATGAACAGTTGTTATACATACATGTAATGAATTACATACTACTTAGTCAGTAGGAGAAAAAGAGTCTTGATTACATATTTGAGTATGGGTAGAGCTTGAAGACGTTATGATGAATGAAATAATCCATGGAAGGACAAATATTGTATCATCTCATATCAAAGGATAAGAAAAGGTAAATATGTAGAGACCAAAGTTAACAGGAAGCCAAAAGTGCTTAACAGAGGTGGGAGGGAGAGAAAAGGGAGTAACTCTGACTAGTCTAAAAAAAAAAAAAGCAAGCAGACAGTGACTGGTCTGTATTTATCTGGAAGAGTGGGAGGGAACAGTGAGGGAGAGGGGGGGATATGAGATGAGTGGCTAATTGTCTCCATGAACCACTACCTCCTTTGCCATGAAGCTGGAAGAACTGGATGTTGCTTGACTACCATTATTGTGCCTTTAAATTAAAGACTCTGTAGAAGCATCCTGATCAAAAGGAAAAAATAAGTAACAATATAAATTCCTAAGCAACTCTGGATTGTCTAGAGTCATAGAGGGTAGCTGAATTCCTGAAACAACTCCCTTGAGAGAATCTTGAATCCTTAAAAAGTGCCCTTGAAGTAATCTTAAAACCAAGTTTTTGCTTAACTAGTGAAAAAGAGGATTAAATGAAACATTATACTCTTTTAAGAATCATATATGGGGTCAAATTGATGTCAGGAACCCAGAGAGTAGAAATGGACCTTAGGGGGTAGTGAATTTATCTTAACAAGGGAGGCGAAACTCAGAATAGGAGCATGCCAGTGGTTGTATAGATTAAAGGATGTAATAGATATCACTATCTTATACATTTCAAAACAGTTGAATTGGTATATATTTCACTGGGTATGCTATGCATCAGAGCTGGACAATGACTAGGGATGATAGAAGAAGAATTGATGCCTTTGAGCTGTGGTGCTAGAGAAGAGTGTTGAATATACCATATACATACCACCAGGAGAGCAAATAGGTTCATTCTAGAGAGGGTGAAGCCAGGCTGCTCCTTGGAGGCAAGGATTCTGAGGCTTCGTCTAACATATTTTGGGCCTATTGCAAGGAGTCTCTGGAGGGAGACATCATGCTTGGAAGGGCAGAGAGATAGAAAAAGAGAGGGAGACCATTGATGAGATGGATTGATACGGTGACTGGGATAAAGAGGATAGGTGTGTCAGAGACGGTAAAGTTGGCACAGGATAGAGCAGGGTTCATGGAAGTTGTTCATAGGGTTGCTGTGAGTTGTAAACGACTCAATGGCACATAACAGCAACAACATAGTCTCAACAGGAAACAAAATTTTGCCTTTTAAATTTTCTTTAAAAACCAACAAGAGTTAGCTCCCAAAAGGGATTTAAAAAAATAAAAAGGTTGGATATTATTTTTGGAAGGTGACTAATTCCCACAGTAAACCAGCTGTTACTGAGTTGACTATATACTATGAGGGCCCCCTGTATTGTAGAATAGAACACAGGGCTTTCAATGGCTGTGTTATTTCTAAAGATTGTAAGGCCTTTTCTCCAAGGAACCTCTAGGTGGATTGGAACCACCAGCCTTTAGTCATCAGCCTAGTAGTCAGATTCTTAATTTTTATGCTACCCTCAAGTTCACACACCTTTGGCTTGGTAGGATCACTTCTGCCCACTAGGCCATCTGATCTCTTGCTATGCTATTGTTGTTGTTAAGTGCCATCGAGAAAGATGGGTGACTTTAATCCATGGCCCTCTGGCCTGTTTTTAATTCTTTTTGGTCAAACATTCTTCTAGGTCATATAGCCTTGGTGTGTCCACTTGCTGGATAGAGGTAATTCGTGGTTGCTGTGAAGCCAAACACTGTGACACTGATGTGTCAAATGTGATAATGGTTACCCATGGTGGACAGTGTTTGGTGGAGCTCCCAAATTAAAACAAGCTTTGAAGCAGGAGTGGCATCCACTTCCAAAATAGCTTGCCTCCGAAAGCCAAATGAACCTGCAGAAAGGAAGAAAGTTATGAGTCATCTACGACTCCATGGTACTTAAGAACAAAAACAACCCTCAAGTTAATTGGTGATGTCATCTGAATAACTAGAGAGTCTGTGAACTGCTGAAAGAACATACTTCAGTCTGGACTTCAGACTGAGATTATTAAAAAAAGCTGTTAGCCATGTTTGACATTGACATTTTTACCACTATATGTTCTGAAAAGTAATAAATCATTTCTTTATGAATAAGAAAATTTACCAATATTTTCAAGTTCTATCATGTGTCAGGCACATGTAACATTTTCCCATTTTATTCAATTACAGTATTTTATGACATGAAGTTGAAACTCAAAAGGGAGTAGGATTTGAAGAGAGTCAGAGCTGGAATATTCCTACCTTCAAAACATTCCCTTGAACTCCACAGTAGCACCACCCACAGAATTCTTTTGTATTTTACAGGCATAATAAGTTCCCTAAAGCCTAAAAGACCTCTAACTTCTTCATTGTTTTATTGCAGTTAGGTTCAAATATAACCTACAAGTTTATATCTGAAAGTGAGCCAATAAAAACCTTCACGTTCACAAGAGAATATTGTCACAGAAGCATGGCTTCTTACCACTAGATCCCCAGAGTTCCCTGTTGTTACAATAGAAATACAATTAGAAAAGATGAGGCTTCTAGAGCTGGAAGGACTCAGAATGCCTGGGGGACACAGCAGTGAACTTGGGCGCACCAGTTATTATGAAGGTAGTATGGAACCAGGCAGTGTGTTTAAAGGTCCTTTCTCAGTTCATTTCCAGTAATTCTTAGTGTTGTGATTGCCTTCAAGTTAGCTTTGACCCTCAAAGACGACAGAACAAACTGTTCCCTGGTCCTACATCAGCTTTGCAATCTGTATGCTCAAATTCATTGCTGTGCCCCCTGTGCGTTCTGAATACCTCAGAGCCTCATCTTCCAGCACTCTATCAGTATTCTTGTTTATTTTGTTGTCATTGTTTTTGAGGATATACCCAATGGATATATACCAACTCAACATTTTCTGTGTGTCCAATTTCGTGACATTCTACACTACATGCATTTTTCAGGCTCTATAGTCGTCCTTACAATATTCGCCTGTGAACTTTACGGTTTTCATTGGCTCTTTTATTGGCATATGTTTTAGTGAGATCACTTCTGAATATTTGTATAGTTCCGATAAGTATTTTTAAAAATATTTTTTCAACAACCATTTATAGTTTTGAGACATGGAAAAAATCAGAAAACATATATCCAAAAGGAGGGTGCCTTAAAAACTCCAACCATCCAGAGTGAGTGACTGTGGTCACTACTTCATTTCTTGCTCTATGCATATGCTAGCCTATGAGTATTACTGCTCACCAAATGTACACGTACTATATATCCTGTGAATAAAAAAATTACTTTTCAAATGAAGTATTTTGTGGACATTATTCTATTTCAATATATCTGTATCTCTGTACACTGAGCCCTGCTGGCGTGGACGCTTACAGTGCTGTGCTGCAGACCTAAAGGCTGGACTTCTCTTGAAGTTCAAATCTACCAGTGCCTACATTGGAGAAACATACCCAGCCTCCTTCCTTGGGATTTACAGCTTCAGGAGACCCAATGGCAGACGAGCTGTGAGCCTCAACCCACTGGATGGCAATGAGGATTTTATGCTTGATTTTATTTTTAGGAATGTTAAAGCTGTAGGACATTGCATATGTTTCTAAGGCTTATTGAAGCAATTCCTTGGTGGTGGACCAAGGAATCTATGAGCTTCTATCTTCTCTTTGATCACACTCCGGCTCTTTGGAATCGTAATATGAAATATACATTCATTCCTTGATGAAACATTTATTGTCTGCTCTATGCCAGACACTGCACTTAGGGGTTAAAATAGAAAGGCAAAAAGGACAGTCCTCATCCTTGAGGACCTCACAGTCCTTAGCAGAAGAAAAATATTACAAATTCAAGTGTCCTCAGAGACACTGGAAATATAGTCTCACTTATTTTGAAATCTCATAGATTGATAGGATGGATGTCATAGACCCACAAAAGAATATATTTCCTCTGTCTTTTTAAGAAATGTTTTGTTTGTGTCAGTTAGGTAGCAGTTTTGTTTTAAAAAATAACAAATAGGGGGGAAAACCCTACCAGAACCTTTGGGACTTGACTTTGCCATCTGCTCAATGGGGAAGAAGAAAGCCCTTTCCTATTTTGATAAGAAAAAAAAAAACGAAAAAAAAAAACACAAACCACACCAACACCATGCGTTTGTGGAAGGAAGGACAAGTTCCTCAGGCTAACCATTTAATTGATGTCTGACTGAGCCATTTCCCTTACTTTCTCCTTGCATTTGGACTTAAATGCCATGTAGGCTGTCAGGAGCCCCCTTGCTGTATTTATGCATTCTTTTCTTCAAAGGAGTGGGTCAGCAGGGGACAGAAATAAAGTCGTCCACCTCTCACAGCGCCCTCTGAATTTCCACCTTCTTCTCTCCTGCTTGCCTTTCCTTTCTGTGGCGGTGGGGACACCATTAGGTTGATGTAGAGAGCAATGTTGACATCCTTGATTGCCCTCTGACTGTAAGTGGACCGTGTTTTCTGCGTGGGGGTCTAGTGGGCCCGTCCACTCCCCAGCTGCATCCCTCCTCTCTGCCCTTCCACCCTGCCTGTGTTCCTGTAGTTCCTCTCCATATTCTTGGTTCTCCTTGCTTTCTGCAAGCTTATTTTCACCTTGCTAGAGTTCCTAGTTGCGATTTTTAATCATAGCTTAATTCTCTTCTCAATAGAAGTAGCAAAACCAGTGTCCCCTATCCTCCCCCCCCAAAAAAAAAGACAATAGTCAAATGCCTTCCTGAATATGAGCAGTATTTTTACATTTTAACATTTGCACCCAAATTATGTTTAACTCTTGAACCCTCTGTCTGTCAGTACTGAGAAGGCAGGGGTCAGTGAGTAATTTTATTTGTGGAGCTCATCTCAGTTACCCTGTGCCAGCTAGGTCACAGCATGAATGCAGTTTGCAGAAATGAATTCTGCCGGTAGGTAAATTAACACCTGCCCAAATGGTTGTGCTTTTCTGAAATTCCACTCCACTCACGGGCACAGACAATTTTCAAATGCTGGCGTATGCACTGCTGCCTCTTTGGTTGTGTACAGATAAAGACAGAATGGCTTTTCAAAGATGGACAGCTCTAAAGCATTGGTCGTCTAACACTGTAATCACATTAGTGTGAGCAGGTGTTGTGCAGTAAAATCTTTCTCTGGCTGGGTAATCAAATAAAAGCTGATAAGCAATTCTAATAGAGAACCAGGGAGCTCTGGTGGCGTACTGGTAAGAAGTAGAGCTGCAATCCCAAAGGCATGCAGTTCAAGTCCACCACCTGCTCCATGGGAGAAGGGTGGACACTCTCCTCTGAATATTAACTGTCTCTGAAAACCCACTGGAGGGTCAGCTGTGAGTCCATTCTGGTTGACAGTACACAATAACAACGATGGGGAACCATTACTTTCTTTTGGAGTGTTGGATTTTTATGCAGCACTCACTCTTTTTTCTTTTTTTCCTGAAATTAAGAAATTCTACAAGTGTACAGGGGCCAGATTTCCTTCCTTTGCTTTTAGATATGGCTCTGTAATCTGTGATACCAAAACTAATTTGAATACAATACTTAATTGAATTATTTACTCAGAAATACTGCTGATATACAGTTGTGAAGCACCCCCTAGAGAGAGTCACGCTTGATCTCATTGAAATGTGTTTTCTAACATAAGCCTTTGTGTGGGTGTTTTTCTTCAACAGGAGATGGCAAATATTTTGGCTCAGAAGCAACTGCGCTCCATCATTTTAACAGTGAGTACTGTTAGCAGTGTGTGCTGTGACCCCTTTGGGGTGGAAGGGCCCTGTGTATGTATTTTCTCCTATTTTGACATTCATTTGTTTGTTCTGTAGCAAGAAGTAGTAACTAGAAAGGCAAGAGTAAGTGTTGGAACAAGTCAGGCTTTCCCAAAAAGGACTGCATTATAGGATGAATGGGGAAATGTTGCTGTCAGTTTGCCAGCAACTTAACAGTGACACTCTGACGGAAGTAAGCATGATGGAGATACACCACTCCAGGAGAGGATCAGAGAGTCAATCCAGCTCAGTTTTATTGGGATAATCACAGCACTTGTATACACAGAAGAACAGGATAGGGTGGGCTTACAGATGTGGGACTTATGGGTTGGTCAGAAGAAGCTCAGCCTCATGCAGGCTACTCCGTGCTCAACAGAAGTGGCAGTCATCTTCTCAGGTGGCAAGCTTTCTCAAGCTGGTACAGTCAATCACAGGGGAGCTTTCTCTACCCTGTATTAAAGGCCGTTGGGGGCTTATACTTAATCTGGAGCTTGGGTGATCTGCCCTGACCAGACACTCCCTTCCTCTCCAACATTCTGCAACAGGGAAAAATCTCTGGAACTGCTTGAGTTATTGTTGTGTGTTCTGCTGAGTCAGAAACAACCCATAGCTGACCCTCCAGTGGTGGGGTGCTACCCAAGAGGAAAAGGAAAGAAGAATGTTCTGGTCAGTTGAGTTGCCATCTCTCAGGGGGATGGGTTTATTACACTAGCATGGATGCAGTTAAGTGTTTTAAGCCTGATCTAGGGATAAATGGCTAAGCACTTGATGAGTAGCTGAAAGGTTGGTGGCTTCAACCCACCCAGAAGAGCCTTGGAAGACAGGCCTAGTGACCTGCTTCCTTGAAAACCCTCCAAAAGCAGTTCTGCTCTGTTCACCTGGGGTCATGGTGAGTCAAGATCAACTTGATGACAACTGACTTTAATAAGGAATTAAGGGTTTCCTGACCTGAAAAACACTTAGCATTCTGAGCTTTTACTGTCAGTAATGAAGGGGCAAGCTGGAAACATATGTCACAGATGGTTTTTTGAAATTTTGGTCATAATTTTCCTGGGTGCTGTTGCAAAGGAGCCCTGGGGCTGAAGTCCACCAGGGAGTTGTGCTCCTAATCCAATGGTTGCACCTCTCTCTCGGTTCAAATCCACCAGCGACTCCACAGGGGGAAGATGGACAGTCTCTTCCCTTGCAGTTTACAACCTCAGAAGCCCAGTGTAGGCTCAGCCGTGAGCTGATGTCTACTTGGTGGAAATGCATTAGTTTGGTTGGTTAGAAAGGCAGTAAATGCCTAACTGAGACTTGCTCATACATGAAAATAGCAATGACCCAAAGCCTAGGCAGAAAGGAAGTCCTAAAATATTTTCTTGTGTGCCTTAAAAATGTTTAGGAAATTTTAAATGGAAACAACTTGACCAAAAATTTGTCAAAGAATTTTGAGACCCATTGAAACAAGTTTAATGAGAAGGAAAAAAAAATTTAGGGAAAAAACCCCAAAATTACTACATTTCTCAAAACCTTACCTGCTACTTGACTTTTAATGAGGGGCTGAAAAAACTGAATATGGTTTGTTTCATTTTAAAATAAAAGAATTTCTGCTTGTGCCATTTCATGGAAGAGCTTATACTCAATCTCTCTCTCTCTCTCTCTCTCTCTCTCTCCCGCCCCCCTCATTATCAGACCATTGAAAGTTAAAGCCCATGACAACAAAGAAAGAACTGTTACAGAACCCAAGAGCAATGACAGCAAATTGTCATCACATTTGATTCTTAAGTTTCCTAATTGTGAAAGATAAAGGGAAACATTTGAGTGTAGTTTTCATTGTTGGATAAACTATCCCAGGTCCTGTGGGATGGCATACTTTTTTTAATTAATATTGTTAATTTGGAACTAGAATTGGAAATATTGAGCAGCCTAACACATTTTTAGGTTCATTTCTTGTCTTTGAGGAAGCAGAGAAGGACTTAGAATATGTTTATTTGACTCCCAATAGATGTATAAGCCACAATATCAAAATGGAGTTCAGTGAAGGTGTTTGTGAAAGGAGGGGTGCGTGAGGAGATGAAGGCTCAGAAACAGCAAACGGGGGTGCATCCCATGTCTCTTATACTGTTTGGGGTGCTGTTATGGTCAGAGAGATAAGTGAGTGTAAGCCACCTTGGCTTAGTCAGTGGAATATTTTTGAAAATTTAACACCTTGGCAGTTTGTGATTGTTACTCTAGTGAAAACTTGAATTGTAGATATTTGAAGGCTGTTTAATAGATACCATTTTACTTTGTACATTAAACGCATACCACCAGTTCCCACTGTGTTCTGAAGTCAGAAGGGTAATACTACTTCCTAGTTTGCTTTTCCTGCTTACCCCCAGCATGCTTTCTACCTATACTTCATGCTCCCCCGTCATTTTGGTTCAGGCACTTTGTGTTATGAAATCTCTCACTCCCTCATTCTTCTGACTTTCATTGAATTGTTCCTTTGAATCAGTTCACATTAACCTACAAAATAGCAAAGCAGGACTCCAAGGAAAAAGACTGAAACATGCTCTTGCGTCTAGCACATTCAGAACAACTGCCTCAGATGGTTGTTTTACCACATTGAATGGAGCAATAATTAAATAACTTAGTTAACTAAGAGGCCTGTATTTGGAACCCACCAGCTGTTCCATGAGAGAAAGTTGAGGCAGTCTGCTTAGGTGAAGACCACAGCCCTGGAAATCCTCCAGCCAGTTATATTTTGGCCTCTGGGAATCAACAACAGTAGTTTTGGTTGGAGATTTGAGTGGCCACTTCCAAAAAAAGGTACTATTAAATGCAAATACTTAATTGGTTCAATTTGCCAATTAGTTATAATTCACTGACTTTTGTTAGATCCTGCCAGACGTTATACCATCTTCACCATTTCCACCATACTTCAGGCCATTGTCCTGGTCACTGTCTGTCTCTTGGAGGGTCTTTCTCTCCTTTGCTAAGCGTCTGCTTTTCCTAGCATGATGTCCTTCTTGAAAGCGTAGTCCATCCTGATAACATGTCCAGGCATCCTAGCCTCCCTTTCTCTTTCAAGAGGATCAGAAGAGCAAACAAATCTGGGAGTAGGAGCTCAAGAGGCCAGTCTAGCTGTGATTCCTTTTCTATTTGTTCCATTTTCAGTTCTCTGTCTATGGGTAAGGGGCATTTTCTTTTTCATTCACAGATTAATAAAGTAATGGATATTTATTTGCTCACAGTTTTCAAAGGGCTGTGGTCCCTGCATAGTTTCTACAAGGAGCTAACTGTACACTTGATATATATGCTGCTTTTGTATGTTGTTTTTAAAACTTTTCACTTTTTAGAAGTCAGATCACCTGCCAAGAACAGTTTTAGGGTAACATGATGACAAAAATCACAAAGAGCCTTCCACACTTTTCCACTACCACATGTAAGAAAAGCTTCTGTCCTAGAAACTCACAGTTCTCATCACAAGATGCCCCATTACAGGTACACTTTCCTCTTGATTTATATGGCTGAAATCTCGCTGTATTTCCAATGCCTTTCCCACCATCTCCTGCACACAGTAGGTCTTCTCTTGAGTTGTGCCTTCAAAAATTAGGAACCTTATTGGATTCTTATTGAATAAGAGCAGGAGTGACATGCACTTCCTAAACAACTTTCCTCCAGAAACTCTATGAACTTTGATAAATGTTGATAGCTGTGAAGGGGCTTCAGGCCTTTTGTTCATAGGGTCACTATATGAGTCATGCTTGACTTGAAGGCAATCAAAAACAACAACACTGGGTTCTTAAGTAGGCAAGTAAACCCTCAGATCTCCTGCATCCCCAACTTTCTTCTGGAGATGGTGCCACATGCCCTGTGCTCCACATGAAAACTTCAGAGATTCTACTTGCCATCATAATGGAGGTTAGCTTTTGTTGTTCAATTTTTCTTGTATTAATTTTGTATGTGAACTGTCTTGCCAGCATGTTATCCGAGCCCAGCGAGCCATCAACAACGAGATGGCACACCAACTGTATGTGCTGCAGGTCCTCACCTTCAACCTGCTCGAAGACAGAATGATGACCAAGATGGACCCCCAGGATCAGGTGAGCACTGGTGGCCACCAACGCCGGCAGCCAAGAATCTCAGAGAAAATGCCACTAAAAGGGTCCCCCTGCTTTGACTACCGTGAAAACAAGAGATATTGGATGATAATAACTGAGATACATAAAATCTTGGAGACAAAATTTTGGTGAATTTAGAATCAGGTTCAGGAGTGGGTAGTGGTAGTTGATAGAACACCTTTTTTTTCTTTTCTTTTTTTAGTTTCTATTTCTTTTTATTTAATCTTTCAACAACAGTTTTGGTGATTAAGCTCTGTCAGTCAGTTCTGACTCCCAGGATCCTATGCACAACAGAACAAAAAGCTGTTCCATGATTTGTCATATGCATAACCATTGGGGGGTTTTGAGCCCATTGTTGGAGCTATCATGTCAATCCACAGGGGAGAGCCTCCTCTTTCACCAGCTCACCTTTACCCAGCAGAATGTCTTTCTGCAGGGACTGATCCCTCCTGACAACATATACAAAGTAGTAATCTCACCATCTTCATTTCTTTTTTTTTAATTGTAGAATTCTGTTTTTATTATTAAATTTTATTAATTTTAATGAACATTTACAGACATTTGGGGTTTTCATTCATTCATTATTGCACTATTTTCTCTACCCTCCTTCCCAGTTCATTCTTCTTTTTTACCCCCCCTTGAAAGTCTGTTTTAATTGTCCAATTGCCACAGTGCTTGTCAAAGCCAGTTCTGATTAATCTCCTTTGTCAGTGTGTCCTTTGCCATTCCCTATCACTCCTCCTTGTATGTGGGAGACTCTGGCTTGACTCCCAGCCAAAGCATTTCACACGTTGTCACCAGCTACCTGTCTGTCACTGGAGGTGTTGCTTTGATGCTGAAACAACTTTGGCAGAGTTTCTAAACTAAGATGGACTAGGAGGAAAGACCTAGCAATTTACTTCAGAAAATCATATCTAGGACAAAGTGAGTATAGCCAGTCATGGGTACAGAACAGGTCTGGACGGTGCTCTGCTGTGGAGTGCCAGGGCTCAACATGATTGGCCCACTGGCTCAGTGGCAATTAGCAGCAGCAATAAGAACAGGATAAAGGAAAAAGAAAGAAAATAACTCTTTGATTTGGCTCCGAACACATGCATATGCTTCCTTTTCTGATAAGAAAGCTTGATGCTACATGACAGCAGACTTAGTCCCTGGGTCTCAACACTAAATGATAATGGCTTTGAAGTCACATTCCCAAACAATTGGAGCTCTGTGGTAGCTTGATGTCCTGTTGACTCTGCAGGCTGAAGAAGGAGTTTCCATCCTCCCTCCATCACTAGCTAGCATGGGGTCCCAGGTGATTCTGGGGCTTACATTTTATTCCCTTCACTATTTGCTGCAATTCTCTGCTAGGACTCTGTCTATGATGCATGAATGGCTGTACCTTCTGCTCACAAGACTTCTGGGAACGTTCCAGTGTGAGGGTGGAGTGAAAAGAAACAGCTGGGCGTCCTGTTGTAGCACATTTTCAACTTCCATAGTGCTGCAGCTTTGGAAAAGAAAGCACTCATTTTTGGCACGTGAGGGCCTGATCCAGTGCAGATACGAAGGGCACGTGTAACCACTGCAGCATTTCGTCCTTGGTGGGAGGCCACGAGGTTAGAAACGAGGAGGAAGCTTAGAGAGGCCATATGTTTCTGACAGGGCTGTCCGTGGCCAGCCCAGAGAGGAAACTCTCCTCTTCCTGCTTACAGAGATGGAGAAGTGTGAATCTCATTGTGCAGCAGCCTCCCTCTTTGGAAATTCTTTCTCCTATTTTTATATCCAGTTTGTTTCTGTGAAGTGACTCCTAGGAGTGACGGATCCTTCTGTAACTTGGATACTGTTCCTGAACTTTGTGGGCCTCTCACTTCGTTTCTCACAGCTTCTCTATGTTGGCCTTCTCTAACTTCATTGCTTCCATCGTATTTCTGGCTGTTGTGCTGGGAGCTCCCTAACAGTGTCCCACATGACTTAGCTGTGAGGTTAACTCTAGAATAAGGCCAGGAATGACTGCAAGGGATTGTGGCAGGACAAGGGTGCAAAGTCTTAATGTAGAAGATTGGTGGCCTTTTAAATGGGCAGATTTCCTTGTGCCTGAATGCAGTGATCCATGGGCCATGCAGTGACACGCAATTAAAGCAAACCACCCTTGCCTTTTTCCCCCCCCTCCAAATGCTTCAGGCTCAGAGAGACATCATCTTTGAACTCCGAAGAATTGCCTTTGATGCTGAGTCTGAACCCAATAACAACAGCGGCAGCATGGAGAAACGCAAGTCCATGTACACCCGGGATTATAAAAAGCTTGGCTTCATCGTAAGTAGCACTGTCCATAAACTGGCTCCTTGCAGCATCTCGGGCCTGACCTCGGTCCCGGAGCTGATGTCTCCTCTGAGTGTGGTCCTGTTGCTCCTTACAGAAAAGTTTCCACACAGGCCAGATGTTTAGCTGGTTTAAACAGAATCACATGACAATCTCTTCTGGACTCGATGAAATGGAATAACTTGCACAAGTGTGACTAATACCGAGTTTGTTTATTCAGTTCTGATTAAGTGTAACCAAGAGTAGTTAACCCGGAATGTATCCAGTCTTTATTAACTCCACCACACAGTGTTTAAGGTTGAACTGAGTGTACAGTGGGGGTCAAGTTTGTGATTGGACTAATCCCATTCATGCATAATTAGAATAATTCTGGTTGACATTTAATTATATTGAGATTTATCTACTTTGTATTTTCCTGAAAGCCTGGTCAGGCCGAGAGTATTAGATATTTTTGTTGTTTTCAGTGTTCAGATCAGGACACAGCTTGCCCTGAAAGCAGCCTGTTGTTTTATTTCTCCCTGTCATCGGTTTCTTCTGCCATAATCACCGTGACATTTCTAAGTGACCTTGGTCTAATTACAGATTCTGCAGGTGGAAAATTGGATCTCTGTTTAAATATACCTTATAATTGGCATGAACAGAATTTCAGCTCAGTGATTAGAAATCACCAGGTTATTATTTCAGAATTTATTCTGCCCACTCCTTAGGGAAAAAGATATATTTAATTTTTTAATACATGTTTTTGCAAAAATGAGACTGTGATTTATGTGTTATTTTGAAATCTTGTCTTCCAGGGGCATTTTCTTTTTGCAAATTTTAATTGAGATTTTATTGTAGAGAACTTGGATTTCTGTTCATTCATTGTTGCAGTTTCCTCCCTGCCCCTCCCCCCAGTTTGTTTTTTCTTTAGAAAAAAAGTTCTTTCATTTCCCCTACCCCCACAAACCAATTTACTATGCAGCTCTTATCCTGGACTCTTGTCATGCCAATAATACCTAATCATACATTCTTTTAATACAATTCTCTCCCTCATTTGTATCAATGCTGTGCACATTATTTATCCCCTCTTTTCTTAGTTTCCCTCCTAACCCTCCTGTCAGTCCTATTTTATAACAGTAGCATTATACAGTATTTGTCTTTTTGTGACTGAGATATTTCACTCAGCATAATGTCCTCCATGGTCACCCATTTTGTATAATATTTCATGAGCTCTTTGTTTGTCAGTGCAGCATAATATTCCATTGTGTGAATATACCACAGCTTCTCTGTCCATTTGTTGATGGACACTTTGTGTTGTTTCCAGCTCTTTGCTGTTGTGAACAAAGCAGCAATAAACATGGGTGTGCACAGGGGCATTTTCTTTGGAAACATTTTTATATCAGTAAAAGTCTTGTTTTTCATTATTGAAGTTTTGGTGTGTTGTGTTTTTTTGGTTTTAATTTGGACTTGCTGAGATTTCTTAGGGAGCTCTGGTGGCCTAGTACTACAGAGCTGCAGGCTGTTCAAATCCAATAGCTGCTCCACAGGAGAAAGATGGGCACGTACCTCCAGTTCCCAGCCTCTGACAACCCACTGGAGAGTCAGCTGTGAGTCAGTTCTGATTTGATGACACATACCACCACCACCACCACCACCACCAGTAGTTTATATAATCAAACCTCTTTGGTGAATGTTAATGTTCTGAAATTACCAGTAACTCGCAAATTTATGTGTTTGAAGCCTAGCTTTTCCAGACACCCATAATCACGTTCTTGGAATAGATTTGTGGAACAGTAATCTCTATGGTATGTGTTTTTAAGGGTTTTGATATTGCTAAATTGTTTTCTGTAAACATTGAGTAAGAACAACTTCACCCAGCGTTGGGTCAGAGTGAAACTTTTTCCTCCTCTAATAGCATTTCTTAAACTTAGAGCAAAACAAAGAAAAGGTCTAACAATCTAGTAAGTTATAGTTTTTACAGTTAGTTTCCTAATAAGAGGAATCATTGAACCCTTAATTCCATTTTGCAACTTATTTTACAGAAGTAGTATGGTATCTGCTTCATATCATCACATTCTCTGTTGTGACTTTGACTTACCATTTAAATGAATTTGTATTAAGTATTAAGAATTATTAAGTATTTTTAAGTAGTTTGGCAACTTTTTCTTGGCTGATGGACCAGGTGAGAGGTGTCTTGTTCTTGGTTTGTGTTGATAATCAAAGCTCATAGGTGGCTTTGGTGCCATTCTCATTGGCCTGTCTTTTAACAGGAAGGTTGCGTGTCCAAAGACAACAAACTCTTAACAGAAATGTAGCTGAAGGAAAGGAAGAGAGGACCCACCACATATTTCACCCAAAATCTGTGCCTGATTTTACTTCTGTGTGCTGAGCACAGCATAGCCCAGTCACCCACTCTCTCTTCCCTCTTGTCAAAGCAGCACTGTCAGAGATTTCGGGAACTTTTCACAGAAGCTCAGCTGTGGTCCTGATACCTGTTCTTGTTGAGAACCTGTGTGACATCCCCTCCTACTGCTATTCTCTCTTCCTGTTTCGGGCCCTGCCTGCATTTCTGGGGCTTCTGAACTGTGTAGCAAAGGCTACACTGGCATTCTCCACACGTACCACTATCAAGATTTATGGTGTTGGTCCCATGTTACTGTGGTTTTCGCTGGGGACAATCAGATCACAGATGCACAGTGTCATCCTGTCTTCCTGACAAGATATGTAGAGACGTGAAGAAAGAAGTAATTGGATGGTTAGCAGGAGAAACATTTGATTAGTGCAGGTTTTGAGGTCTCTAAACCAGTTAAACCAGTTGTTGTCCAGTCACCTCCAACGCATGGTAGCCCCTTGGGTGAGAGTAAAAGTGTCTTCCTCCAAAGTGCTGCGGGGTGGACTTGAATCTCTAACCTTTGTGTTAGGAGTATTAACTACACCATTCAGGAATTCAGGCCCTGGCACATGAAAGGCATATATGTTAGGGGTGAGATGCCCAGAAAGTGTCTATTTTTTTTTTTAA